AAAACAGCCCAATTTTCAACAATTATTTCTGGAGTAAAAGACGGTTTCTTTGTACTCTTGTATCACTGAAAGTGTTTCAGGTGCTTTTGTTACCTGAATCAGTCTCTCATGAACTAACTCATGGAGCTTATAGAGGCAATTAACCTTTAAAGTTGCACAAAGACTGCGACTCCCTAAAAATATGTATAACTTCTTCAGCTCATATTTACTTCTAAGTTGAAAGTGTTTTTATTTTATTCATAACTTTTAAATTATTTATTGGAACATTTTAGAATTGAGTAATGTATTAGATTGATAAATAAATATTACATGTATTCATGTCGTGTTACATGTATGTATTTATTTTTTGATATACTTTGCCCTGCATCTACCTAAGGCATGAAATTACAATCGTCTTCAGACCCCACTTGGTGTCTGTTGACCCCCAGGATGTCTCGACCCGCACTTTAGGAAGCCCTGTCCTAAGGTGTACATTTAATACTTTCAGTTTAAACCCTCATAGAGTTTAAGATGGGATAGCAATTAACGATAAAAGCTTCTTGAAGGTCTATTATGTTTGTAGGAAGGTTTCTCTTTTTTGTTTGGCTCTGAATTGATTTAAAATTCAGCTGCTAACAGTGGTTTCCCATCTCTCCCTCAGATAAATTTGGACCTTTTTAGTTCCGTATTGCTGTATTTACTGACAGCTTGCACTGCTTCATAACCTGAGCAAACACTTAAAATACTTTGGCCAGATTCCATTTAGGCCTGGTACCTCAGGAGCTGCAGAATCAACTAAACATGTTGTGCAAAGCAGAGGCTCTCCTGCAGCTTCTGCCCACATAAAGCTGTCAGTGCCAGAGCTGCTCTTCTGTGATCTTTTATTTTCAGCATCTCTCTCTCTTTCTGTCTCCCCACAGCAACGCTCCACTGTGGCCTCCATGATGCACAGACAGGAGACGGTCGAGTGCCTGAAGAAGTTTAACGCCAGGCGGAAACTTAAGGTGTGAAAACGCTAAATAGGTCAAGGAGACATCATATCCTGGCTGAACCTGATGTTTTACAATCCAATAGCAGTACGAGATTATAAAACCAACAAAAAAAACAAGTATATTCCTTTTGGTCATGTAATACTGAAAAAAAAAAAACATATTAGAAAAAATAACAGATTAAACCAAACAACATTTTACCTTTAGAAAGCAGGAACTATCCTGAGTTACAGTTGTAGGGAAATCATATTTAAATGTTAAATCATTCTGGCTTAAACATGTATATAAATGTACTCTTTATCAGAAAATATTGTCTCAAAATTTAGAACATTTCTATAAAAAAAAAAGCCTGTATTAAAATCCGTGTTTTATCTTATGCAGGCCAGTTAGTTATACGTCAGTCTGAACACCTAAATTCGGACAATCATATATCAACGTTCATCTGTCAATCAAATTTATTCGGTCATAGCATCTTGTTTTGTATGTCGCAGCTAATATACGCAACGGTTGAAATGAGAAATGAGAATCATTTCCTTTCCCATTGAGTTCCGTCCCAGTGTTCACGGGGATGAACGTCTGTGTCTTCAGCAGGCGTAGAGCTGACAGAACTGGCAGCGTTGCGAGGCAAGGGCTCAAACATGTACGGCTGGAAGCCTTCTACA